TTATCTTATTTTCAGGGAAAGATAACATTTTCTTTAGCAATCATTTTATTTACCTGCTCATTTCAAGAAGTTTTTACATTTTAGATGATTTTTTGCTGTGTCATACTAGAAAAGTTGGATGATTATATCCATAAACAGAATGGACAGCAAGACAATCTTAGATCTTGTTTTTCAGATTTATATACTTTTTGTTACGAGAATATCTATCATGATTACAGTCTTATTTAGATACAAGCAGGTTTTTATCATTATTTTTGTTCTGTTTCCCCATTAAAAAAACTACACCCCCCACCCCGGTAAACTTAGTCTAGAACCTCCACTGGACACATCCAGGCCGACCTGTGAGTGATTATAGTCGGCTCTGGTTCTGCTTTTAGGCCGCTGAGTGGAGCAGTGCCTCCAAAACTGAACAAAAGTTTCACTATTATGGGTCACTGGTACGTCTGCGTTTCCCCGTGGGTGGGTGATCGTCCTCGGACTCGCTGTCAGAATCTGAGCCCCCTCCCACCCAGTCCTCCTCGCCGGTCTCTCCCTCTCCGCCCGAATCGCTATCATCAATCTCTTGAAGCATTTCTAAATCCTGTTTCTCTGTTAGATTTCTTCTGAAGCCATTTTTCCATATTAGCCAAAGAGTTCTAGGTAGGATGCTGGTTGCTAGGCAACGGTACCAATGACAATCAGCTGGAAGAATTTACAAATCAACTAGTAGAGCCGTCAAAATGACGGATGTGGGAGATCGGGGTGAAATTAACCATATTTATTTTTTATGTTTTTATTTTATATTAAAAAAAATGTTAAAATGAAGAAAATGTAGAAACAGAAAATGTTAGTTAACATGAGCAACATATGATTAATGTAAATAAAGTTATTTCCCTTTAAAATCTCATGACCATCAAAATGACAGTGGGGGGTTCTAGTGTTAAATAAAACATGTCTGATGAAGAAATGAAAGCAGAGTCGAGTTTAAACAAAACAGATTGAACACAAAAAGTTTCCTTTTGGTGTTTTATGAGGAACAGCCTCTAATCAGGCTTTACCTGCAGGTACAAGAAGAACCTGAAGAAGCTCTACGTCGTCCATCCTACTAACTTCATCCGGATCGTCTGGAACATCTTCAAACCTCTGATCAGGTCAGAACGTTTCCTTCGCTTTAATCCAGCCGTAGAAACAGATTTTATTTAGATCTAGTTTTGGTCGTTACTAATCTGCAGCGTTTATCTGCACAGGATAGGATTCATTACATGGACGATTCACAGTGCTTTACATAAATAATTAGATGATAAAATGGAAGGAAGTAAAAGCAAAAACATTTGTTAAATAATTAAACATTTGGACCTTGAAAAGAGCAGAATTTTACTGTTTTTAAATAAAACAGTTTGGTCAAAACCTTAAACTAATGATGCCTCAGTTAACAGTTTAACTCCGTCAGTAAAAGCAGCTCTAAACTAACTCTGGCTTCTAAGATCTCAGGCTTTCAGCTCTTTTCCAGCTGCTGGGAGTTTGTTCCAGATCAGTGGAGCATAGATGCTGCTTCTCCATGTTTGGTTCTAGTTCTGGTTGAACAGAGGATGCTGGATCTAGGGCCGGTTCTCTATGTGTACTTGTGCGTTCTCGTGTCCTCGTGAAACATCCTCAGTCTCAGCACTAGTACTGTTCTAGTTCACAAGAACAAGACCGAGAACAGACAAAGTCCCCGGATGTTGTTCTGTCCATCTCCAGACTGACAGCTGTCCCAGCATGCACTGCAGCAGCAGCAGCTTCCAGGTTAGCTTACGGATCTCAGAGTAATAAGATGAAAGTTCTCTTTTCTGTTGCTGCTGTTCAATAAAAGTACGTTTTAAGATCATTTAAGGCGAGAATATTATACTTTTAAGTGTCTCTATATGGAACATTTACTGATTTAATGCGTAATTTAGAAAAAAAGTTCAGATGTTGAGATGACCGTGGCGACCAGTGGAGCTATGAGGCTAATCGCAGCCAGGGCTAACGTTGGCCCGTCTGCGGCGGCCAGCTCTCTGCATAGCCATGTGTGAAGGACCGCTGGGTCTGATAGAGGTTTTTTTGTTTTATTTGGCATAATTTTCATTTGATTTGTGTTTATCTGACTGTGTTCATTATTATTCCCCCACTAAATGAAAAAAGTCAGAATTTATTATAATACTAGGAGTTGAAATGCAGCTCCAGACGAGCTGAGCGTGTGGTGATGTCATCAGTACGCTTCTTTTTATGCTGCCTGCTCCCGTTCTCCTCAAGTCCAGACTTTCCTGTGTTCTTCTCAAGAACATACTTGGCGAGAACACGAGTCCGTACTCATGTTCTAGTGAATTAAGAAACGGCCTAGAAGACCTGAGTAGTCTAGGAGGTAGATCCGCTGACATAACAGATCTGTTATGGATTGAGCTGCTGATCTATTCAGTGATTTCTAGACTAACAGAAGGATTTTAAAGTCTATTCTCTGTCTGACTATTTTAGATCTATATTTATGTAGCCAACTATTCATAATCTATTCTAAACTAGACATAAATACATTTTTCTTTGTCCATCTCTCATTTGAGCGGAAATAATAACGTCAGTAATAATCTCCTCATGCTAATGCTAATGCTAATACTTCAAGTATTATTGAAACAACCAGATTGTTTATTTTTCCCTCGATGTATCGAGGCAGTAAATTAATTCTGCAGCTGATCGTTTATGTTCACTGGCAGAATCTAAAGCTACGCCTTAATGATGAAGTTTGTATTTAATATGCAAAAAATAAACTTTTGCGTTTATAAGGAAATGAATTAAAGGGACATTATTATGAAAATAAAAAATAGGTTTTAGGGCAAAAAAGTAAAATCTATTCACATTTTCTATTTTTGTTCAGCATTACTAATAGTTTGAGAAGTACATTTTATTTTTAAATAATTGATGCTGTTTCATGTCGTTTTTAAAAAATTTTTTATCATCTTTTAGGTAATGATGTTTTATTAAGAACATTTTAACTCCAAAAACTGCGTCTGGTTATTTTCTGAATAAATCAGATTGAATGATAATCATCAAGTTGGCATGAAAAGTAGACAGAATTAATTATCTGTTGATTTTATTTTATTAACTTTATTCAATATTTAAATTCTTCGGTGTCCAAACTTTATGATGTGATGTAATTTAATAATTTTTTCCATACTTTATAATCTGCTGCTTATTAACAAATGGATAATCTAGACTATTTTTAACCATCTAAACTAATTATGTAATATTTTAATCAGAACAATGAACATGAACAGATTTTTTTGTTGTTGGAAAGAAAATGTATAAATAAATGAAAAATCCAAAACTTCTGTTTCACTGAAAAGAATCAGTGAAATATTTTGTGATCTTAGAGACGATTTTGTCACTTTTTCACCAGTAATGCTTCTTATATTTAAACTAGTTTAATTTAAGTAAAAGCAGATTTGGGAAGAAGTCGGCTTTATAGTAAAAGTCAGTAGATAGTTCAGGTCGATTTACTATGAAATAATAGAAATAAAAAAACCCTGATTATCAGAAGACAAATACTTTATGCTATTTCAATTTTTCCCATTATCAGATTTTTTTTTTATAATAACTTTGGGCTTAATTAGAAATATAATCTCCATCGGCTTCAAACAGACTGAGCTGAAATTTGAGAATCGCTGATTTTTATTTGAGTTTTTAGGACGACTTCTGATTAAAGATCAGCAGATTTAAAGTCAGTCTTTTATTTGTTTTTCTTAAATTTTCTCCCTTTTGTTTCTCAGCCATAAGTTCGGGCAGAAGCTGACGTACGTGAACTACCTGGCGGAGCTGCAGGAACACCTGAACTACGAGCAGCTCTTCATCCCCGCAGACGTCCTCAGGCAGCTGCTCCTCCTCTCCACCTCCTCTCTCCTCTCCACCTCCTCTCTCCTCTACCGTTAGCATGTTGCTCATCACCTGTGTTTATCATGGCAGGCACGACGAGAAGCTGCGAGCGGCCCAGAAGGGCGGGCCCCCTCCCTCTGTGAAAAAGCCGCCTCCCCGCCCCCCTCTGCCCACGCAGCAGTTTGGCGTCAGCCTGCAGTAGTGAGTGGCTGCTTTTAGTTCAGCTAAAGGATGTAGATCAGTGCGCTGTGGATCAATACCTGCTTTCTGGCAGCATCAGGGAGAAGAACCGTGAGGCGCTCATCCCTCCTGTGATGGTTCAGACTGTGGCCTACCTGAAGGAGAAAGGTGAGCCCCCGCCTGTCATGGTGCTCAAGCTTGATTAACCTGGAATAACGTCTTTCTACCTGCTGGATGGATGTTTCAGGTCTGAGGACTGAAGGGATCTTCAGGCGTTCGGTTCGTGTTCAGATCATCAAGGATGTCCAGAAACTCTACAACCAGGGTGAGCCGCTTCCTTCTTCCATCAGTCGCTTGGTTTTAAATCAGGTTGAGTCGTAGAGCTCGGCTTCTTGAAAGCACGGATCCGTTTTTAGTTTAAATCTCCTGAATCTTATTGGTTACTTTAGTAAAAATACCAAACACCACTTTTCAAAATGGTGGTGAAATTGTCTTTATTGGTTACTTCTCTGGAACCTTCTAAGTACTTTCTAAAATTCATATCCTAATGTTCCTGGAACTCACATTTTACTTTCCTGATAGTTATTGCTGGAAACTAAGATTTCATTATTAAATTACATTCTGGAATATTTCAGTTATTTGTTGGAATTATTGGGGTAGTTTTTGGAAACCTTTCCATGAACTTACTTGATATTTTCATGCAAGGTTCAGTTCCTGCAACCCATGGGCTATTTTCTAAA